TTTCATTATTTATTTAATTTGAGATATATCCGCTTCCACTACAGCTTTCAGCTCATCATTATCCACTTTGGTCTTAGGTCGCCCACATGACTCATTTTCAAGATTAAAATTGCTACAATGGAACTTCTCAAACCATCAATATACTGTGCGTTCATTAGCTACATCGTCGCCAAACATGTCGTTGATATTTCAAGCTGTTTGTGCTGCATTTGTTCCACAAGGGAACTCGAAAATAATACGAATTTTTTACTTATCCATGGTTTCACAAAAATTGATTTGAAAAAAGATAATACAATCGAGATACAATCACAAACCAAAATGTAAGTTTGGAAGAAGTGAAGATGTACTTTTATAATAAAAAATCAAGAACTGTCAAAATGAAATGTTAGAGATATTGATTCTCAAACTTAATACTTAAGGAAATCGGATATTTCATACTTAATAACCTAATAGTTTGTTTAGAAGTAGCTGCTAGTCGATCTTGAGTATTTACAACAATTTTTACAATGTCAAAAATTAAGAACAAAGAATTTTATGTTTTCAACGAAATTTCTTGTGCTGAAACACAAAAAAGGTCGGATTTATGGAAAAATAATTCATGGATTTTGCATCACGATGATGTACCATTTCATACATTGAAGCTGATACGTAAGTTTTTGGCCAAAAACTCAACAAATATCATTCCTCAAGTACCGTATTCGCCAGACTTCGCCTCCTGTAACTTTTCCCAGTTCCCAAAACTCAAATTACCATTTCGTGGAAAGCGTTTGAATCGACAAAGGCTATAAAAGAAAATTCGCTGAAGGAGCTGAAAGCTATATACCGTCATCGGCTTACAAAAAGTATTTTGAAGAATGAGAGAAAACGTTGGCACATGTGCGTTGCAAAGAATGAAGACTATTTCGAAGGGGACAAAATAAATTTATCTGATTAAATATCAATTTGTGTTTTGTGTGTTATATTTAACAATTCCGGGTACTTTTTGGACAGAATGGAAGTATTTAGGGTGGTCTACTTAAATCGGGTATCTTAAATATTTCATTTGTTTCTGATGATTCGAAAAAATAACTAAGAAAAAAGTTGCACTGTTCGAGAGGGCAATTATGACAAAAAAGTTTTTTGCAAAGAAAATATTTTTTTTTAAGATTTGAAATTCAAGATAATTTTTAAAAATTATACTATTTTAAAAAATAGAACTATATATTTTTGTTTGCACGATTTTATAGATAACATCGAGAGAAGCGATCTATGATAACGTGACTTTTAACTTTAGAACTCGAAACATCCAAAACTTACAGAAAACATAAACATAGGTAAATTTTACCCAGCGCATTTTGATTTGCTCATAATTCCCGAAAAAATAGTGGAAATTTATTATTCTTTTTTAATCGGTGTAGAAAATGTCGAGAAAAATAATCCTATTAATATTTTTGCTATTAAATTTGAAAAAAGTCATAATAAAAAACTAAACACATGTTTCTTCAAAATTCACTTTTCCTTAAAAAATCATAACTCTTTAGTAATAAGAGATGAAATAATGAGGCCAACGAGATTTTAAAGAAGAAGATTCTTTTAGGAATAGGCTGTTTGTTGAGAAACTATATTATTTTTACGAAATGAAAATATAATTCCTGGCTATATTATTAGACGCACCTTAATTTTTTACATTTTGTTGACTTCCGAGGACCAGCTTTATAGGCTCATCTGTCGATGGAACTATGTTTTAAGGAACCATTATTCTAAAATTCTATTATAAAGAAAGTATTGTTTTATGACGTCATTTCACTTGGCTGTTACAATGACCTTGGACAAATATGAATTCGTGCTAGTTACATTGTTGATAATAATGGGAACAGAGGTGTTTTAAGTGTGTCAATTGAAATTTAGTTTTATTTTTTTTTATTTGTGACTTGAAACTTCAAATTCCTTGCTTACTAACAGAAAATTAAATTTTTGTGTGAAAAATATTAATACTGTTTACAAAAATTAGAGGTAAAACAAGTGATTTGACATCTTACAAGGTGCAAAGGTAATAGCGCTGATTGACACCGAAATTATTCTAGTCCAATAAATATAAAATTAGTAACTTTTCTTCTTCTCCTAACCTGTATTCTATTAAAAAATCAAAATGCGTCTAATAATATGGTCAGGGACTGTACGTCTGTTTGAGCAAAAAATGAATGAGACACTTTATAGGTTTATTTAATAAATCACTCTATTTTATTATTTCAAAATTGTTTTCTTATAAAAAAATAAGACATTTTAGTTCAAAATGAATAGATACAAGAATTATATATAAAGTGTTCCAATTTTCACGACTTTTAATTTTACCAAGAAATCCCTTGATTCAGATTCCCTGAATAAATTAAAGTTAATTTTTCCTTAGCAAAAATATCGAAGGAGATCATTATTTATGACATTTCAGCCTTCAATATAACATATCTTTTTAGCCAATCTCAAATTAAAATTTTATTAAAATTCGTTTGATATAAATTGGAAAACAATTTTGTTATCCATTTGGTCACTCGAAGTGTAGTTCGTGAAAAGCTCCACTTTTTCAATTCTCTTATATCTCGAAAACTATTGATCAATATTTCCACTCAAGAAAAGTTAACCTGAAATTGTTTAGAAAACTTCCCTGTAAAATTAAAGTCGCGAAAACTAGGACATACTATATATATTTGTGTCGGTCGCCACGATTTTTACTTCCGATGGATTGAATGCAAAATGTTTTCAACAAAAGTTTGTTAGTTTCTAATAAAGAATTAATTGAATATAGAAGAAATAAGACGAAAACTTACAAAGAATTTCAAAATTGTCCATTTTCTAACAAAAAATTGGTCAGCTTATGTTTTTTTAAATAGAACTTTATATTCTTACTATATCGTATCAAAAGACGAATTCAACGATATAGCATTATATATTGACATCATTTTGACCATTTAATCTCAAGATAATTCAGTTAATACGTAAAACATAATTAATGGATCTATCGTCGATAAAGCATAGATCTAAATGTAAATAAACATGATTGTATTAAGAAACATATATAGGAATAGTATCATCCATATATTTAATCATCAATATACAGGGTGTATAAAAATACCAGAACCCCCCCCCCCCCCCNAAACCCCCCCCCCCCCCCGAATATCTCAGAAGGTAATGAATAAAAAAGAATGTTTAAATACGAAATTTGCAGAGTTTAGAAAGGAGCATCTAATGATAACCTTGGTCTCAGCGTAGAGGTCATTTCAAGGTCAACTTGAATTTTTTTAATAAGAACCCCCTATTTTTGACTGTAGAAATGAAAAGAGCAGGAAATTATAAGTTCCCATATGCTATCATATTATGGGTTCAAATTGACCTGTAGGGGTCATTTTGAGGTTGAATCAATTTTTCAATAATAATTCTTTTGAGAAAGCAGTTTAAAGGAAAATGTTAATACAAAATTAGCAGGGTTTAAAAAGGGGCATCTGATGATGACCTTGATGATGGCTCCAGTAGTTGCAATACCACCGGCATTAGCACTACCCAAAGTAGGTATAAGAACCTCACGTCACTCCCGTAATATTTTCTGACTTCAAACCTGTCAAACCTCTCTGCTGTGTGTGAATGTGCGTGCGTGCGTGCGTGCGTATGTATCAGCAGAGATAAGGGCCCCACGATTCGTCACTCCTATAGTATTTTCTGACTCCAAACTGTCTCTGCTCTGTGCTAATGTTGGCGATACTGCAAATTTCAAGCCTCATAACTTGAAAAGTATTTAATGCAAAAATATTTTATTCTAGTGTTTTGAAAAGCTATCGAAGTAAGCTATAAGAATATGCAATAAAAAGTAGAAGTTTCCATTTAAGAAATTGAAGGTGACCTTCATCTGACCTTCAAAAGACTATCAAAAGTTAAACCAATGACACAAACTTATATAGCCTTCCAAACCATACAAATTTTGTATGAAACATTTTTCTCCGAAATAGGTTGTTCAAGAAATATTTGAGGGCGTCATTTAAAATGGGACTCCCTATATATGTCTCACCAAGTATGAAAGAGTTCTGGAACTGTTCTATTTTTATTTTTGAAAAGTATTTTTTCAGTAAATAGTAGTATATTATAATAGTATTTTTCAGTAAACTTTTGAGAGGTCCCCTTAATATCATCATTTAAAATCCGGCATTCTACAGGCTAACTTAAATTTGCGTTTTTGGTGTTTTAGCACTAAGATATGTTGTTTTACAGTAGCATTAAAATTAAATCTAGAAGAATTAAAGATTCGAAAAATAGTTAATATATGTAGTATCGTAGACCATTTAAGTAAGCACAGGCTATCTTTAAGAGCGACAAACTAACATAAAAATTCCCACTCGAGGTTATGGCCTAAACTGACGAGTCGCATTATTCTTTTGATGAGCTACTTGACAATTCTCATTAAACGCACTCTTGAGGGTATCGTGCACTGATATATATCGTCATAAATGATTTATAGGGCGATCACTCGAGATAAATTAATTTCTTCGAACACAGACTTCCCTCGACTAGCCAAACCGGCTCGCCGATCGACATTTGATACGTGGACGAAACACCGCTGCGTCTGGTATACTTAAGCATAATGACTGCAATTATATCGCCGAACGATTGTGTCCCGACCAGCCACCTGTTTCTGAGCTAATTTGTAGAAAGATTCTCGACCAGCGGCATTCAATCTTAATAAACTTTGTTACGAATTTCATTTTCACTAATTACACGCGTGCGAAACTTGCTGTCTCATACATAATACTAAGGTCCATATATCATAATTATAACGATCATGAAAACGAAATAGTCAAGAAATGTTATAATAATTTACAACAGTTTGATAAAAGTTGAGTAAACGCGAACGGCGGCTGTTCTCTTTTCGTTACAATATCGCTTCATCAAATCACTTGAGTGTCATTGAAAGATGTTACAATTTATATCAAAAGAACACTTATACGTGCGTACATATACGTAGGTACGCGCGTACGTATATGAGAATCGCTCGATTGAACTCTCGACGCGACGAATCCGTCAATCAAATCCGTAATTTGCAAATTTTAGATGTGGATTACATAACGGGCGACAATTTCTTCGATATGCTCGATAATGGCGCGATCGTGTGCCGACTGGCAAGGGTCATCCAGGAAAAAGCGAGGTCTGCGATAGACGCCGGACGGGCGAAAGGAGTAAGTATATTTTTATCATTTATTCCATCGAGTTAGACGAAAAGTTCAATTTGAGATTTTGTCAGTAAAATTTGATTCGATTACATTTAATAGAAACAACGTAGAATAAAAATTAAATCTCGTAAGGTCTAGCCATAAAGTGTAAAATTGTATCTAACATCGTCCATGTCAGCCACTAATGTAACACTTACTTCTTCTAGTGGTTAGCTAAATAGATTAGCCGATGACTACACAGAAGAAATTACAGTTATAAGATACAAATTTATAACTATTAGGTGCCGCAAAAAGTTCGTGCAGTTTCCTTCTTAGCAATGAATTGAAGTCGGATTTCAGTCAGTAATTCGTGTAATACATCAAGTTGGTATCAACAGAAAGTTACATTATGTCGTTGGTATACACGATGTGCAGCTTTCAGTTGTTTCAACGTTCCGTTGTTTATGTGAGGTTAAAGATGGATAGCGAAAAGTTGAAAACTCGTGTTTTCTTGCTTTAAGAGTTTAAATTTGGAAAGTACAACAGCAAATGCAACAAAACGTATTTGTAGTGTATGATGAAAGCACTGTTAGCGAAAGGACAGCACAAAAATGGTTTAAGCGGTTTAAGGAAGATAATAAATCGCTAGAGGATGAGCCACGTTCGGGACGTCCATCTGTTATTGAAGATGATGGACTGCGTGGATATGTGCGTTCAAACCAGCAAAAAAGATATGCAGACGTGGGAAAGGGTCATCGAAGTCAATGGTGACTACTTCGTCAAATATAACTACTTTTTAAAAAAGTTCAGAATGTTTCAATTTTGAGAACAAGAATCCGCACGAACTTTTTCCGATACTTAATATTTACCAACCAATAATACAACGCTCACTTCTGCTTTTTTAAAATTTTTGAAATAATGTAATCTCAATTTTGATTAGCTACGCGAAAAGAGAAAAAATATCTTAAAAAATTAAAATATTCAATGTGTACTAATAATATATTTATTTAAATCTCTAAATTTTGTATTTGAATAGAATAATAGAATAGAATTGTTTTCATGAAATGCTACCGCGGATTTAAAAAAAATATACATTTTTCATTAAAAAAATTTTTTTTCTCATTGTAGAAATATATATATTAGTATAAGTAAACATCTGCGTGTGTACGTGTGTGTATGTGTATGTGTGTATGTATGTGTTATTAATATTTATTGAATTTTTTTTTTAAACATTTTTTTCTTTTAGTGTATTTAATTTCAAAATGCTATTGGCGGTATAGTAGCTGTATTTTTTATTTTAGAATAAAAACACATAAGCCATCCTACTTGATATGTAATGACTGGATAATAATTAGATCACAAAACCGATTCAATGAATAATTAACAACGAGCTATAAAATTTAATCTAGCTTGTACTAGCTAACTATTAGCTTCTTATTTGTGTCTATTTCAATTTTATTCGGAAAATTATTCGTCAACCGAGTAATTATTATCGTTAATTGCGATCCTGTATCAACGTCCTGGCAGCGTTCGTATGTTTGCACTATAAGAAATGGCCAGTTTACTTCGCCCAACCGAATTTTCTAACTGATCTGATACTTATCGGATTAGTCTGGATCTACAATAGAAAGTCTTTGGTTTTTTGTTCCAAACAATAAAATATAATTTAATACGTTCATGACCGGCGTCGCACATGTGTGATATACTGATCTTTCATTTCATTTTTACTTTAAATTTTCAATTTTATTTAATGCGTTCTTTATCAACGTTACATATATGCAACAGTGATAATTCTTCTTTTATATCCACATAAAAAGACCAAATCTGCTTTATACAATTACGTAAAAATAAAACACAATATGGTCTGTGGGAAAAAATTCCTCAAGTAAGCCATGGTCGCGAACATATATTAATTTCCGCCAAAAGTCATAATAACGCTTAAATCTTCAAAACTGCGACGCCTATAACGCTGGAAAAGTTTTCCGCCAGAAGTTACACCACAATTTAGTGCTTAGAGCAAAAGACTAAAGATTTACTATACCTATTATAGATTGAGGCTAACGCTCTCCAATTTGTCTTTCTCACACCAATGTAATGTATTTTTCTAGCTGATGCCGGTAATACGAGGCCGCTGTTGGGAGAATGCCGCGCGTCGCAGCTTCTTCTCTCGCGATAACATGGAGAACTTCATACAATTCTGCCGGCGGCTAGGCGTCCACGAGAATCTTCTTTTCGAAAGCGATGATCTCGGTAAAGCCTAGTATAATTAACTTTAATGCATGCGAATTAACTAGGGGCAGTGTGCGAGTACGTCGCAGTCACTCTGCCGTCGCTGTCACCGCCATTCGCTCTATCGGACGACTTTCAACGAGACACTATTTAAGTGCGTACCCGTCTAAGTTGATGAGCGGTAATTAGGGAAAACATAGTAATCGACTCGCGCAATCCCGCCGTAGTCGACGCGTGTAGGAACGTGTGTCGCATAAATTACGAAAGGCGGAGAACACGTGTGGTATGCAAATCCGAAACGGCCGTGAAGCGAGAGTAATTGTCGGTGGATCGCGCACACGATTCCGAGGAAAATGGAGCGAATACGCACTCCTCCGAGATCATTGGCTCGCTTTCCCACTTGACTAAATTTAATTGCCGTCGAAAATAATGCGGTTACGCGAATGGCGTAACGACGCAATTGAGCATAGCGAGACCACTTTGAAAGAAACCCCAGCATTGTGAAGTCAAGGAGTACACTCGTCAATGCTGATCTTTTATTAAACGCAGAGTCATTAGAAATTTTCAATCACACATATCTAGATATTCGTCCATCATGACTGTTTATTATTCCAGAAAATAGCAACAATATTTCAAATATTATTCAAACAGAGCGGCATTTATAACATAAAACAAAAGATTACTCTACATATTTTTGTGTAAAATCTTATACGAAAAATGCATCACTCAAGTTGAAATGATATTTCACTCGTAAAAAGAAGTGACAGCCAAGTCACTCAAATTCCAGTATCTTTTCTCTCTTATTAATCTTTTCGGTATGACGTACATCTGCTGCATAGTATTGCTTGATAGCCGAGACAAGCGAACCGCAAAATACTTTCGTGTAACAAGTGTTTTATGATGGATTTATATATAAATATAATATGACAATTGGTCGTATGTATGCCTTTCGTGGCTGTCGACTTTAGTCGACGATCGGTCATATGTGTGTCTTTCGTGGCTATCGACTTTAATCGACAATCATACTGAAGAGGTTAAATAAATTCTTTCATTCCCTTTCAGGGAATGAATATTTTTATTCCGTACCGAACCTAATTTAACCTAACAATTCATATCACAAGCAAGAAGGTGATTGACTTATTGTAAACGTGTTACTTTTTTCAATATAATTTATTACAGACCTCGGCAAAAGATGCAAATTTTAGTCAGATTTCGGAATACACACCCATTATTCCCCGTTTGCCATCTGCGACATAGCAACTGAGTGCGTAACTAAGGGTCACGACGCTTTGCATCAAGAGCGGCCAAACCATGAATACAATTAGGTCAGACCTTCTTCCGTATCAGATATAAGCATCTCGTGTAAAATTTACATGCAGTAGAATAAGAAGAGATGTATATAGGATTATATAAAGAGCGTTTCATTTTAAGTGAGAGACAGTTCATTATTTTGAAAATATATTTTCAGCTAAAATATTCCATATAAAAGTTGTAACGTTTTAAATGGCGCATTACATAGCAATATTAGTGTGATCTTGGATAGCATTGTTAAGATTATATACAGAAAGTCAGTTAAAGCATTACAAATTTATATCTCGGAAACAAAGTATTTTAGAGAAAAATGTTTTATACAAAAGTTTTGTAATTTCGAAGGGGACATAAGATAATGTCATTGGATTGATCTTGAATATAATAGTTGTTCGAAGATCATGTGAAGGTCACCTTCAATTTTTTTTACGGAAATCCCTACTTTTCATTGCATATTTTTATAGTTTATCTCGAGAGTTTTTCAAAACACTAATGAAGTATTTTTTCATCAAGTACTTTTTGAATTATAAGGCTTGAAAGTTACAGTATCGCCGGCACTAGCATTACCCCAAGGTGTACCACGTGAAGATTGCCATGTGGCCACATACCAGATGGTCAGATTTACATTTTTTTTTTAGTTATGTATGTGAGCATGTGTGTAGGATCTTTATTAGTTTATTGCTATTATTATAGTAGCAATACAAGTTGGCAATAACTAATAGTTGTGATAAACATGGTTATGAGTATTTAGTGACACTCGTACTCGATCATACTCGGTCACGCAACCCAGCCTTACACGGCTACGCCATCTTCCTTTTTTATAGTAGTTTCCTCTCGCGTTTTACTTTGTCCATGACGCCGTCTCTCTTCCGCGGTGCATCATGGGTCTCCAGAGCAGTGCCCGCATCCAGCCATCCCCGCTCTTCTTCGATCCTCGAAGAATAATGCAAACACAGTTTTATCTTATCAGCTGATGATGAAGTTATCTACAGGCCCTCCACGTTGGTTTCCTTGATCACCTCATAGCGATCATTCCCTTTCTTCCTTAAGACTTTATAGGGACCAAAGTATTTATCTTTTATTTTCAGCCTTGAGCCATATTGAATCCGCTTGATGGCGACGAGGTCGCCCTCCTCATACTGAGTTGCCGGCTTGCAGTTGCGGTCATGCATCCGTTTATTCTCACACCGAACTTTAATAATGTTCTCTCGCGCTAGGTCCCTTAATTCCTGACGTTTCTCGTTGAAGGTAGCAACCGATTCTAGTTCGATGAGCGAAGACAGTTCCAGTCTTCCTTTCTATGCATCTTGACTCCGAAAAAGACTTCATGGGTTGATTCCCACACTTCTTTGATAAGTACTGTTGATTGCTGTTTGCACCCTGTCTACGTATCTGAACCACTTGTCAGGATAGTTGTGGGCCAATTTAGTAAGAATAGGTATACAAGATGCGTCAGCAAAATCCGGACAAAATAAACAGTTTATTATTATTATTATTATAACAATTGTTAAATAGTCGAAAACTTAAACTTACAAAAAAGCTTTTATATGTCACTTAAGGGATTCTTCCTGAGTCCTGTTGTTCAATGTGATTTCCTTTCGTTTCGATCATTGCCCCGATTCTCTGCCTAAAGCGCGAGCACGCTCTCTTTAACTGCTCTCGGTCCAAATCCGCGAATAAAACTGCTTCAATAGCGGCCTGAAGGGATGCCACGTTTGGGTGCTTGGACTTTTTAGTAACCCTTTCAATAATGCTCCATACGTAATAGTCCAGAAAGTTTAAATCTGGATTATTTGGAGGCCAGAATTCCTTGGACTAAAACATGTCCACATTGCCAGTTGTGTACTAAGTAGCTCGTGTGAGCCGGTGCGCCGTCCTGCTGGAAGATGTACGGCTTCCAAGAGGCCATGGATTCCATCCAGGGCTTCATTATCATCCTCAGAATCCGTAAGTAGACTTCCTCCTTCGTGATTGTTTCTCTCTTTTTAAATAAATGCGGTGACATAACATCATCCTCACTGGAGACGACGCTTAGAACGTGAACATTAGCCAGAAACTTCGTCCTGGCTCCTACGATGTCACATAGCCGATCTCGGGTACCCGAAGAACTTAATTATTTCAGTCGGCGATCTTTCAACGTCAACAAATACCCATTGCTAAAGTCAAATATAGCGGGAAATTTAAATTGAACTTTGTCCGGATTTTACTGACGCACCCTGTAATTATCCGGTTTATTCTTTTGACTTGTCCGTTTCCTCTAGGAACGCCTGTAGTAATCAAGACGTGCTCGATGTTCTTTTCAATGCAATAACTCTGGAAATCGACGGATATGAACGCTGAATCTCGATCGTCATGTCATTCCAGCTTCTTCTTATATCGGTTTAATCATCAAAATTTAAGAAAGAAATAGGAGATTATTCTTAAACCCTCCGAGTGCATTGATAGGGTTGCCACCTTGAAGCCTGACAAGAGAATGGTACGTATTGACACACAAGGATCGTTTTGAAACCGGTATCAACGTATAGAGGTCAATCTCAAGGGTATTACTATCAATTTATTATCATTGATTCGTCTTGGTACTCGAGAAATTGGCCCATTTCGTTTCTGGTAAAACCCGCCTGATGGCGAGTTTGGGAATTCACTACTCTGTCTTCTCGCGAGACTCGCTCCCACTTTGGTTTGGTTCACTGATAGTGAATGGGACCCTATAAATATTATAGAGACTGTTCAGTGATCAGAACGTCTCAAGAGCGTCTCTAGCGAGATAAGACTTGTTTTTCCCTTTGCCGCTGTTTGTGGTTAATTCCCAAACTTGCCATCAGGCGGGTTTTACCAAAAACGGGCCCATTTCTCTACTACCGACGAACTGATGATAATGAATTGATAGCAATGCCCTTGAGATTATCCTCTATACGTTGAGCAATGTCCTTGAGACTATCCTCTATACGTTGATACCGGTTTCAAAGCGATGCTTGTGTGTCATTACGTACCATTCCCTTGTGAGCATTTGCCTACCTGCATAGATATTATGTGTGTATACCTGAGTATTTTTTTTCAGATATAGTTTGTGTGTATATGGTTATCCCACCAATACTCGGTCGCCAGAACCTCGTTTGTGATAACAGAAATAACTACGTGAAGGTGAGATTGATCTTTGAGAAGGAGAGGCTGAAACTTCTAAACTTTTCCGTAAACCCGCATAGATATCCATAAATCAAATTCACCAAATAAGTTAATCGATCGAGATGATGAAAAATTACCGCATATAATGAGAATCCATAAAGCAGAAAATCAAGGCTCCAAAAACTGCGAAATTGGAGTAATTAACTATAAAAATAAAGAACGTCGAATAATTAAATAATTACGAACTTTGTTCTCATTAAATCTCTCAAAAATTGCTGGTCCAACGATTCAATCATCTTCTACTTCATACAGATATCATCTTCAAGCGATGAGAAATGAAAATGACTTGTATACAGGTATTCAAATAGTGTAATATATATAATAATGACATTAACTCGCCAATATAACATATGTATTAAATATATTAGTTGTTCAAATTAATTCGGTGCCTTTTTTCATGAAATTCAAAGTTTATTCACAAAAAGACAAGTACACATTTAATATTCAAAATAATCTTAATTATTTTCGTTGACTTTACTCCATCTTTCGGGCAACTGATTAATGCTTTTGCGGAAGAAACTTGGCAGTTTTGACTCGATCAAGTCATCGGTGATTTTTTGGGCTTCATCAACTGTTTTAAAGTACTCATCAGCCAGGTGATATTGAAGGAACCGAAATAGGTGATAGTTCGACGGGGCTAGATCTGATAAATAAAACATGTGAGGGAGAACTTCCCAGCTCAATATGTATATGACGTCTTTAGTCCTTTTTACGGTACGTGGCAAGCGTTGTCGTGTTTCAAAATCACTTGCCTACTTCCGCTGCCAGTATAAGGTCTCTTTCGCTCTAACGCGTCGCTCAAATAGATAAGTTGTTGTTGATAGTACTCCGCCGTAACAGTTTGGTCAGGATTCAACAACTCGTAATGCACCACACCCTTCACATCCCACCAGATTCTCAGCAAAACTTTTTTTGCATGGATATTGAGCTTCGGAGTTAATGTCGACTATTGGCCGGGATCTATCCACAATTTTCTGCGTTTAGGGTTGTCGTATAATATCCATTTTTTATCACCCGTGATTGATGATTTTGTGTAGAAAATCTTTTCTTTTAAATCGGGTCAGCAAAGACATTGCCGTGTCGAATCTTCCATGTTTTGCGAGTGCATGTTGTGCGGAACTCATCTACCCTCCTGAATTTTATTGAGTTAATATAGATGATGAGATACGCATTGTTGAATAACTCCGAATTGTAATACAAGCTCCTGTTGGATTTGAGAGGAGTTTTCAGTCAACAATTGTTCGAGTTTTTTGTCGTCGAATTTTTGTGGTTGATCCGGACTTTGTTGGTCCGAAAGATCAAAATCTTCATTCCGAAACCTCTGGTACTTTCTGCGTTTTATGTACAACGTCTCCATTCAAAGTGGCACAAATTATCTCCGTAGTCTCAGCAACATTATTTTGAAATGCGGAAAGAATACAGTGGTTTAAATGCTGCTTATCGACCACCATCGTGTTCATTGCTATTGAGATTATGTCGCCTACTTCGCCCATTGAACTAAAGAACATATTGGAATGAGCACTGCCTTTGTTTCTGACAGATGACCTCGTGCCAAGAGAGAAAGTATCTAAATAGTATTTCCGTCTTGTCTGTTTGTGTCTGTTTTTGTCTTATCTTAGTTTATATAGACTATATAGTATGTTAGTATGACAGAGAACGAAATACTATTTAGACACAGCCTTTGTCGCACAGCTTTTCTAACAGACCATGGCCCCCACAATGCCAATGTTCATTCCAGTATGTTATTGAGTTCAATGGCTTCGCCAAAGCATATAGCGTTTAGAATTTAGTGGTATACATTTACAAACCGCAAAAGGACGGATAACTATTTAATCTTAAAAGGGAATTATAAGGCGCGAAAAGCACCAAATTAATTTGTATATATAGTGGTAATAATAATAGTATTAAATATCCCAGGAACACTTTTCTTTCTTTTTGTACTGAAATTATAATCGTTAATTTGCTGAGGATAGCCCGGAGTAGGTCCGGAAACGTACGAAAGATTTTAAATATTATTGTATTAGTACAAAATAGTGACAATATATTCGCTATTATATCGAAGTTAGACTTTTATTTGTTTATTATATTTATATTTCTTATTTTACTTGATTGTACATCATCAAATTCTTAACATTCTATATTAATACTTGTAGAATTGTTCCATCTCTCTTAAAAAGAATTATTAATAATATTTAAAAAGATTGATTTATTTAATAATATTATATTTCTATTATAAAATATAAGAGGAATCCTGTAGTAAAAGGGAGGGGGGTAGTTCGGAATATATAATAAATATAAAAGCAATCAATTATATGGTATATAATTGAGAAAATCTTCCGCCAAATAATTGATAACATCTTAAGAATAACGTAATAAAAGGAATATTTACTTTATGTATTGAAAGAGAGTGAGAGGAGTGAATTAGAAAGTTAACTCGTTTTGCTGAGAAATATTCACTTTAAAGGAGTGAAACATTCACTTCATGGTTGAAGTGAAATATTTACTAACGTAAAAAGTGAAATGTCACTTCACTTCGAGTGGCAATATTTTCACTATCGCTTGGAGTAAATTCTCACTCGTTTGGAGTCAAATTTCACTCTAAGAAACGTATAAAACACATATGATGAAAGAAGCTACGTATGCAATAAAATTGTTATTTCGTCGAATAGTCGACAGTCATGAGATACACGGATATACAGACATGATGCGATGAAAATTTCTAATAACTTTTTACAAGTGTCAAGAGATCACTATCTGTGAGTATAGGATACGCGGCAGTCGTGATGCATACCCACATCAGCATAGCGGGCCTAATCCTTTTACAGTCCTACACGGCCAACCACGCAATGTGGTATTGTGTTTGCTGGAAGTCGCGCGACTGGCGGCTCAGAGATACTCTTTGGAACCCCCTGGGTTAGTGCAACTTGAGAGGGAGATCGCGGCAGAGCAGGAAAGGGACCTCCACTGTTTGTCTGATAGTGGCATATCTCACAGTAGTCTTGTGTCCTGGCAGTTCCAATCGCCGTCGCCGACAGCGACACCCAGAACCCCGCTGGAGAAGATTAAACACAGCAGGTGAGCAAACCGTCATATCGAACGGCTGTTTTACCGAGAACGTACGGGGACACTCAAGTGCCCTTTCGCATGGAAATGAGGATAATTTCCGTTTGTGATTCGTGATTTCGTCTTCGTGATTAATGCATAATCAATTTCTATTATTAGCCGGATCTGCCGGGTTTACCTCATTACTATTTTTTGGTTCCCGGAATAATATTCGTAAATATATATCTAGGTACTGAGATATGTAACGTTCCTATAATTCCTCCAAGGAGCATATTCTCTCTTCCTACGTATGCATATGGTGCGCACGCAGATTATACACATGCCTACGGGTCCTACAGTTTAAATGCCAGTTCCGAACGGAAAATTTTTGGAAAGATGTTTCTGTGGCATGGATATTCTTGGTGATTTGCCAGACCACCGAAGAAGAGCTACGAGCGCGTGAAAACATTTTTGTTTCTGCCGGGAATCGAACCCGGGATCTCTATAACATAGCAGACCGGTGCGTTGTCTACCATGCCACGCTCGCATTCAGGTATCGAGATAGTACCCATAAATGGTTGCATTCAGGAAATATAACAATTAAATAAGAGCTCAATGGAGATCTAAAAAAATTACCTCTTTCAAAAAAGTAAAAAGAAGCCAAATAAGCACGTGCTTAGCCGTTATTTTGAAGTATTTAAAAATAATTATACTAGAAAAGAGCACGAGCGTGGCACAGCCATGGATGTAGGAATATATAGATAGAGCGTAAGCTGAGTTTACAGACAAGGAAGGGGGTGGAGCCGATTTGAGAGACGAGATATCTCTAAAACTGTGCCTGAATTTGATTGGTTGAGTTGTACTCGTAGCGCAGTACCGCTAATTATAAACGAAGTAATAAGAATATGAACATATAATTCAGAATAATACGTGAAAAATTAATAACATAGTGGGTAGGAGGCGATTCTATGCAAATCCTCTTTTGGAATACTGTGAAGAATATGTAAAAACAGCCTGTTTTTCATTTACAGTTCATAATCATTAAAAGGTTATCTTACCTATGAAATGTGATTTTTCTTTTACTTTGCGTGTGTTTTTTCCAATTTTGGCAGTCAGATCTGTTTCTGTACAAAGGAACACAACACTGCACTATTACTCCAACGAATTATTAACAATAAACAATAAGACAATACTTGCTAACCTCTTCATATGTGCTCAGACGTTATATGAACGCGAAGACGGTACTATGTACGCTTGCGTACATAGTATGAATAGTAAAAACCAGGCACAGTTTTTACTTCATCCCCCTCTCTGTGTGACTTCACCCCTACATTTCTGGGATTACATCCAATCCATATATTCCTACATTCATGGGCACAGCAGATAGCGCACTGGTCTACTATGCTGATGGTCTCGTGTTCGATCCCGGTAAAAACCAAAATATTTACGCTCTTCTCTCGGAAAGAAGTGGCAACTCTACCGAGAATATCTTTGCCAAGAGAACCTCTCTAAATAATACGCGTTCGAAACCGGCGTTAAACTGTAGACCCCATATGCCTGTGTATAATCATCGTACGAACTACAAACGTATGAGAGAAATTACCATGTCCGGATACGGGCAATAAGATTGAGAGAGGGATACTAGAAAATTGTTTCTGAAAGAAGGTTATTATATTAAACATTAATTTTGAGCTATACCAATTTAATCTTATATTCTCTACAAAAATAATAATATCAAATGGTTTATGCTAAGTGAGAATGATTAATATTTCAGTTTTCAATTTTATAAACACAAGTTGTTTTAGCTTAACAAAATTTTGCTGGTTAAAAATATTAAGAAGTATTATATAAAAAAACTATCTGTCAGGAAATATTGAGAAGTATTATATATAAAAACTATCTGTCAGAAAAGCTTCTGTACGAAAATTTAATCTTATATTTTCTACACAATAATAATATGGAGAGATTTATGTGATAAATTAACAACTTTTTATTATATTTCCTGTTTTAATGGTTTTATACTTTTATATTTTATACTTTTATATTTTTTCAATTTTATGTTTCGTTATTTGCCTCGTGTATATTATTACACGGATTAACATAACATTTTAATATTAAATATGATTTACTTTTAAATATGAAAGATATAAGAAATGTGTGTGTGCGTGCGTGCGTACGTGCGAACACAGTCAGAAATAAGGACTCCGAGCAATTACGTCATAGCAGATGTCCCAGGTTGCCTATGAAACAAAAGCTTAACGAATCGATATTATCATCAGACCATTTGAAACCTTGCACGTAGATGTAAGTAATTGTCGTGGCGATAAATAATAATTTTTGTGAACGTTTCCTCAACGTTTATCGAGTGCTGTACACTTTCGCTCGCTATTACTATTTCAAAGTCTACCGATCCTTCGTCTCGCAAACACGCTGGTGTCTTTCGCTCTGACGATTCCATCATTGTCTTCCTAATCCGCGTTCGGATCTTGTGCTATTCCACCTTTCGAAATAATTTAATTCAGATTAACTCATATCATAGCTTTAGCTATATCCTATACGAATAAAGAAGTATATAATATGTTGCTAATTTTGGGTGTGTGTCGACTTGCATTTGCTGCAGCTAAAAGATTGTGGCGAGGGCGTTTTCTTGATCGGACTCGCGTAACATTTTTTTACGTTTCACGGCTAACCGAATCAGAACCAAAGGTGTCATTCAGCCTTAATATAACAAAGGTCGACAGATCCGCCGTCCAATTAAGGAAAGAGCAGCGGAAATTCTTGCATCGACAAAATTGAACCCTCATGATTCCTTAAGTTGTCGAGAAATAGATTCTGGAGTTAGTCGTGTCAGTATCTGGCGCATTTTGAGTCAAAACAAGTTTCACCTTTATTGAATGTCTCTTCACCAAGTTGTGAATAATGATGATTTTCAAAATAGACTTGCATTTTGCAACTGGATAAGATAATAAATATCTACTTTTCACCACAAAATTTTATTTTCTGACGAATCTACATTCACATGTGATGGAAATGTCAATATATGAAACTGTTGTTATTGGTCTCAAGTTAATCCTCATTGGTTGAGAGAAATGGATCATCAGCATATTTGAAAAGTATTAGGTTGGTGCGTATGAAATGTCGCATTCTCTTTACA